TTCCTACCCTCGTCTGTGGTCATGAACTTTGGGTAGTGACCGAAAGAACGAGATCGTGGTTACAAGGGGCCAAAATGAGTTTCCTCCGCAGGGTGTCTGGGATCTCCCTTAGAGATAGGGTGAGAAGCTCAGTCATCCAGGAGAGACTCAGAGTAGAGCCGCTGCTCCACATCCAGAGGAGCCAGTTGAGGTGGTTCATCTGGTTAGGACTCCTCCTGGACTCCTCCCTGGTGAGGTGTTCCGGGTGTGTCCCACTGGGAGGAGACCCAGAGGAAGACCCAGGACACACTGGAGGGGCTATGTTTCTCAGCTGACCTGGGAACGCATTGGGATTCCTCTGCTTGAGCTGGCCCAAATGGCTGGGGAGAGGGAAGTCTGGGTCTCTCTGCTTAGGCTGCTGCCACCGCGRCCYGACCCCAGATAAGCGGCAGAAAATGGACGGACGRACGGCAGAGGAAAAATCCACAATGTAGCTTTAGTTTGAACAGCAGGGAATTTCTGAGGTTGAAATTGTTTGAATCTTCCTCTAAACATCATTTGTTCACCCCATGACTCTGAACCACTGGTCCATGTCTCCCTGCAGCTGAATCAGAACCACCAGAAGAACCCACTTAAATGTTCTGATCCACCAAAAAACCTCCAAGTGTCTTTCCAAAGCAGACGTCTTGATTGTGAGTCTGGATCAGATCCACTGACAGACTGTGGACCTGACTGAAGCAGAAATGTAACATGTTCTCTCCTTCATCTGCAGCTCAGAGACAAATTAAGAGTCTGCAGAGATTCACTGAGTTACACAGTCAGAGGAGATGAAGAACAGATGTTCATCAGATGATATCACTGTTTACTCATCAGATGATTTCACTGTTTACTCATCACATGATGACATCACTGTTTATTAGACAGGTCAGCTGATTTTATTACAACTGATTTATTTTTCTGTCATCAGAGCTGTTAATATTGGACTCTCAGAGGCTCACTGTGAAGTTGTGGCTTCAGCTCTGAAGTCCAACCCCTCCCATCTGACTGAACTGGACCTGAGTGGGAACCAGAACCTGTCTGACTCTGGAGTGAAGCTTCTGTGTTCTGGTCTGGAGAGTCCAAACTGTAGACTGGAGGTTCTGAGGTCAGTTCACTGCAGCTGTTGGAGGTTTTCTATGTTTGTCCAACTAAAATCATTCACTGATCCTTCACAACTGATTCATTTAGAAATGTTTCCTTCATTTCAAAAGTTCAACTTGAACACATTTGTTTTAAATTTTCTCTTTCCAAACACCTAAAAACCTTTTTAGAACTAAAACATGTTTGCTGCTTGTTTGAACCTTTAAAGAACTTTTACTGGTTTAAATATTAAACATCAGTTTTCACCTTCAGCTCTGTGGGTTTTGATCTTTGAATTTTCTCATCATTACAGATCATTAAAAGTTCATCAACCTAGGAAAAGGGATTAAGCTGGGATTTTTGTGTTATCCAGGATTAACTAATCCTTAATTTTCCTTAATTTTGTTGCAA